CTGCTCCTCTGCTGGCCTGATCACCCCTAATCGCCTCTGCCTCAGGCCTCGCCACCATCAGGCCAGAAGGATGTCCGGAAGATGTCAGATCTAATTAGCATATTACCCTTTTATTAGTAGAGATAAAATAATTCCTCCCTACCATGTACACATATTTATGTACAATCAAGGATGTTCTATAAAGTTGCATTAAGCACTGAATTAACAAGAAATACAGGATTAGGTTCCTGGCAGCCTCTGATCACATTTTTATCAACTGATCAATACATAGCCTTGTATTATGTGTGTTTCTGCTCCAGGACATCATATTTAGTTCACATTGTTGATTCATTAACATCGACTTCATGGCCAACAGCACTATAATTCATGCCTGAATGAAGCTTATCTCACACATATATTTTTCCATAAAGGTGCCTTACAGCCTTCTAACACTCAGGAGCCACATTCAACAGCAAAATCACCAACAAAAATGCAAAAAAGGGGGGGGCACTAGCTTGACCCCCACCAAAGCCATGTCTGTACAATATGAGCGGAAGGAAGAAGGCAGAGCATTACTTATTTAACTCAGCTGGGAATGTCGAGCAATTCAAATTTTTCTCTGCTTTTGTGGCCCACAAATGGCCACAAAACCGCCTGGAGTGTTGATTTTGGGATTACAAATACATTTTAGTGAGTGGCCGGCTTGCAAATGTGGAATTGGCAAATAGAGAGGATTGGCAAATAGAGAGGATTGACTGAACTTACATATTAAAACATGAAAACCTGCCCAGGCCCGTGTGGCTCTGTGGTTATGCATCGACTAGGAGGTTGAGGTTCGATTCCCGGTCAGGGCACATGCTCGGGTGTTGGGCTCAATCCCCAGTGGGGGCCGTGCAGGAGGCAGCCCACCGATGATTCTTTCTCATCGTTGATGTTTCTCTCTCTCTCTCTCCCTCTCCTTTCCTCTCTGAAAGCAATAAAAGCATTTTTTTTTAATGAAAACCTGTCAAATAGACCAGAAGGGCCATTAAATATGACTTAAGCCGTACTTACATTGCATTAAATTTCTTTTTCAAGGAGAATGGCTTAATATATTTCTCATCTATTTATGATTTTATATTTTAAAAAGAAAAGTGGCTCTGGGTTGCGTCTGGGTATCTAGAACCTGAAGGGACACGGAAGGGTCCTTTCTCCTGTCCTGATGGGCTGTCCCCTGCCTGCTCCCACCACTGGCATATTTTCAGGGACCAAGACCTGGATAGGCCACGTCAGCACTGGCCTCCTGGGAATGGACTGCTGGATGAGAGAGGAATAAACTTCCACCTTCAGTTGCTGTTATTTTGGACCTTATGACAACAGCACAACTCATCCCAAAAGATAAGATTCAGCCATGGCTGGTGTACTCAGTGGTTGCAGGGGTCCTCAAACTTTTTAAACAGGGGGCCAGTTCACTGTCCCTCAGACCGTTGGAGGGCCGGACTATAGTTTAAAAAAAAACTATGAACAAATTCCTATGCACACTGCACATCTTATTTTGAAGTAAAAAAACAAAACAGGAACAAATACAATATTTGTATTTGCATGTGGCCCGTGGGCCGTAGTTTGAGGACCCCTGGAGAGCGTTGGCCCATGCACTGAAAGGTCACAGGTTCAATTCCCAGTCAAGGGCATGCACCTGGGTTGCAGGTTCAATTTCCTGGATCCAGTTGGGGTGCATGAGGGAGGCAACCAATCGACGTGTCTCTAGCACATGGTATTTTTCTTTCTTTCTTTCTTTCTTTCTTTCTTTCTTTCTTTCTTTCTTTCTTTCTTTCTTTCTTTCTTTCTTTCTTTCTCTCTCTCTCTCTCTCTCTCTCT